CCTTCTATAGCTTACTTGAGAAAGCTTATGTAGCCATCTAACCACATCTATATAAGTTTTGTGATACATCTAACAGTCGTAAGTTGCAGGTTAAAGAGGTGATAATTTCCTACTTTATTTTGATGGAACAGGGAAAAGCCACATTACAAGTAGGTTTAAATAATCTCTTCATTCTTCTGTTTTTCATTCTTCTTTCACTAACATATTAAACAAGATGTGAGTTGATTAATCATTTTATAATTCCTCAGGATCTTGACCTTCAATGTGAAGAACTTATTCTAGAGGAGTTTGGTGAGAGATGCAACTTTGAGGTTCTGGATGCTGTCCAAAAGTTAGAGAGGCTTGGCATCGTGTCTCGAGTGAGTCTACAACCTTTTTAAGTTGCCAGCTCTAACTTTAGTAATCTTGCCAGCCTGATATAATCAATTGAAAGATAATTTCACTCATGGGTCTAGCTGCCAAAATGAAACTACAAGGGTAATAAGTTCAAAAATGTCATACTAGGGTCTATGTACAATTCACCCTATATTTAAAGTGTTGTATCAGAATCCTGTTAATGTACTATATCAGAATCCTGTTAATGTACTATGTATTAGATCCTCCCTCACAAATTATGAGAAGAAAGATGATTTTCTTGCTCAGGACTCTATCGGCAGGATTTATTGCGTACCTTTGAAGAGAGCCAACGAGATCATAGGATCCACAACCGAAGAATTGGTGATCAAAGCCAAACAAAATCCTGCTCCTTAATCTTATGCAGTAAGCCTTTTGTTCATTTTCTTTGCACATATTTGCAACCTACTGATTTAGAGAAATAAAGGAGGTTATCTGTGCATTTTTGGCTTTTCAGGTGTCTGTTGATGTTGATCGAGCATCGTATGCATATAAGTGGTCTGTTTGGATACGTAAAATGTGCATATGAATTGGTGTAGTTTTTTTTCTTTCTTTCCACATATTTTACGTTTGTTAATTTAAATGTTTGGAAAACAGTTGGATGTTCATATTGAAATGATGTGTTTTATTTCTTGTGAGAGGTTTGTTTATGTGAATTTTCCCACTTCCTGTATATGGTTCTCTGTAGGCTTCTTGTTCGCTCCTTTGCGCGCCTAGCTTATTTAGCTTATTTATCCATCCGAACTTCTTGTTACTTGCATATATGTTAGCTCCTTAACAGCTACAACTCAAACTTAAGATTCCCATATGCTAACTGAAATTAGCTTCTAAATATGTTTGGATACTATGATGATTTTTGTGTGGTATTTTTAAGACACTATTATGCTTTTTTCGAAAAGTGTTTTCAGAACATCATAGTTAGTGTTTTCGACCAACAATACTCTTGACTCTTCATAACATTAGTATTAAACATACTATTAATATGTTGAATATTAATTATAATATAATATATTGTAACTAATATCTTATAATAATATATACAATTTATATATAGTAATACATTATAATATTATACATTGTAACATACTTTTAACATATTATATTATAATTATGAAATATTATTTTCAACTATTAATATATTCAAATTTTCAATATCTTCAATTATATTACATATTATTGTGATTAGTATATTAAATTTATTAATAATAATTTAATTATAATTTATTTTATAATATAGTATATTACGTTCTTAGATTAATTTTTATTACAATATATCATTTTATCATTAATAATTATTTAAAATATAATATATTACTATTTTGTTATTACTTTATAATGTAATAATATATTATGAATATATTAAATATATTAATATTTAACCTTTTTAGAGGAGTTTTTATTTTATTGTTAAATACTATTATTACATAAAATATTTTAATTATTTTTATTTTATTATACAATATATTATTAATACATTAATTATATTATATTTATTAAATAATATAATATTCATTTAGTTTTATTTATTTTATTATACCACTTAATAGGATTTAATTATTAAATACTCTAGGGCTATTATATTATCATAAAAGTTTATTAATGGATGTTAATATGATATAATATTTAGTATTTTATGTTTTAGATGATTTATAATTATTATATTATTTTTATTATGATAATATAATATATTATTGATATATTATGATATCATTATACTATTAAATAAATATATGATATATATTTATTTAGTTATATACATTTTAAAATCATTACTTATTATTTGTATTTATTATATTATTAATAGTGTAGTATAAAAAGATTAATGATATATAATATTAATAATTAGAATATTTTTATATATATAAGTAAATTATTGTATTTATTATATATAGGTTCATTTATTATTAATAAATTAAAACCTTTTTTATCTTTATTAATATAAATTTATTTTATTATTAAATTTTTTATTAGTATATTTTCTTTTATTGTTATTTACGGTTAGTATAATATATTATAGTATAAAAAATATTAGTATTATATTATATTTGTTATAATATTTATCTATTATTAATTAATGGTGTCAAACAAAGTATTAATATATTAAGAAACTAATATTACAATGCATGTTTTACACATTAAATTATATACATTCTATTATATTATATTATTCTCATCAAAAATTAATATTTTATTATATTATATAATAAAAATATTGTATTAAATATATTATTAATACACTATATTGGATATTATTACACCCTTTAAACTCAAAACATCAAACTCAAAACATTTTTTTTAGTGTTTTGAAATAAGTGATGTTTTTTATTTTTGATGTTGTAGCCTAACAAAAACACTATGGTTTACAAACGTATATTATTTTGACTTTGGAAAAAACACCATGAAAGGTGAAAACACACAAAAGATCATGGTAGCCAAACGCTCTAAAGTATTCATTTTGCATTAATATGTGAAGTCCACCTTTGTTTTTTTGGCACGGTGACGATTCCCATTGCCATGTGAACTTTATATTCAAGCTCACTGCAGGGCTTACTTGGCAATTATAAATGGTAACTCACTATATACGAGCTCCTCCCCAGTCACTACTGGGTAATTACAAATTGCAATCTACTCTAAAACAATGTCTAGCAATCTGTGAGCATTAATTCTTAGCTGAAACCTCTACCTTCACATTTGTAACAATAGACGGACA